ACAAACTGAGGAATTACCCAATGTTTTCCCAGTTTAACCCCTGTCACACCAATCACCTGAACACTGCCAGTCCTTCATTCTCCCTCTGTTGGGTTAAGGACTGAGGAAGTTGGACCTGTGTCTGACCAGGACAGGTGCAAACCAAATGCTGGGGACTGGAACACACACCTGGCACTCCTGCAGCTCTTACCCTTATATTCAAGAGAAAATAGCCAATTGTACCATCACTGCTCATTTCTTCTGTGCCACAACAACATCATTCCAGGCCTCTCACTGCCAACCCTCCGCTTCTCCCAGCAGCTCCAGGGGCACCAAAACTTGTCCTGAAGGCACAAAGGCTCCTTTTGGGAGCACCACGACCCACCCAGACTGTAGCACTGGAATTCCATCTCCTGGACAAACTGGGAGAAGTAGGGAAGAAAACCAGGACCTTACAGGTCAATTGGGGGCACCTCTTCATCCAACAGCAGCTCCAAGAAAGGTACTGAGTCAACACCTCACCAAAGACACAGGAAAACAACTGCCAACACCTCAACAATCACTCCAGTTTTCAATTGATAAAGCAACACTAAAGAAAAGCTTTTCAGACACTTGGGAAGAGTCCATCCCCCTTTAACCAGTTTGTGGGACTCGTTCCCAGCCTCCTGAGCTTCATTTCCCATCTCACTGGGGCTGCAGCAGACCAGGTTCTACACACACACACAGGGAGCTGCTGCTCCTCGATTCCAGTCTCCTGGTTCCCCTTGCAACTCCTCCAGCTGTTTGCCCAGCTCTCCAGTGCCCATTCCTTTGCCCACTGCACTTGTTCACAGCCCCAGGGCTCCCAGGGCCACCCTGGGCTCTCCCCTGCCCTGACACTCAGGGCCCTTTCCCAGCCCCGACTCCATCCAGCACTGACACAGCTGCTGCACCTGCAAGTCTCCTGCTCCTGCCCTCCCTCTGCCTGCAAAACACCCCTGCCAGCTCCTGCACCCCCACCTCTTACCTCCCAGCAAAACAGAGCTGCATCCTCCTGGATCCTCCAGCTGGATGCTGCTGGCTCTGGGCAGCTCCCACCCTTCAGCAGGGGATGCCAAAGGCAGCTCTGGGGACTGTCCCCAGGGCAGGGACACCCACTGTGGCTCACACCAACACTCAGCCATCTCAGGCCTGGGCTCTTCTGCCTGCAGGGCAACAAACAGCCAAGCAGGGACACTGGGACACTCCAAGGAAACAGGGACAACACGCTCAGCAGCCTGGCACACCACAGCCCCCAAACCTGCCCAGGCTCCAGCTGCTGCACAGACCTGTGGCCACACAGGACCCAAACCCACCCCCAGCACAGACAACCCTGGGCAGGTCAAGCTGCTCATTCCCAACCACAACCAAACATCCAGTGCCACTGTCTGCCAGCCCCTGCTCCCAGCAATCAATCATCTTTCCCATTTCCTTTCTTTACAGCTCCTTGCATTCACATTCTACTATCAAACCATCAGCAGCAAATTTAGCTCTTACTAGAACCAATCCAGCTTGGCTTCCTAATTTTAAAGGATACTGGGTTTGCCTTACCAGGAGAGACTCTGGCTTAGGGGTAATTCTTACAGCTTCTGTCCTTGTCCATTTGCTTGGAATTCCACTGGCCCACACACAGGAACAACTGCAGCTGCCACTTCAGTCGGGACCTTGCTGCTGACAGGAGTTATTATCCCTCTGTAAACACCAAACTGCTTCAATACAAACAATCCAGTGGACACTACAACTCCTTGGCACTTTCAGTGGAACCAGTGCAAGTCAGTTCCTAAGTTACACAAGGTTTTCTTCTAAAGTTGTAATTAATTAAGATATCAAAAAAACAAACAACTGTGACATAAGAGATCCCCCCATGGTTCTACTTCTACGGAAAAATACTCCAAACCCCCCTCCCCAGGGCTGCAATAGCTCAGGCTCCCAAAAAGGCCCAGGGGCTGGGCTGGGGCTTTTGGCTGCCCTGGAGCACAGGCAGGAACACGATGTCACCACCCCACGGGCACAGCTGAGAACCCAAAGAGCAGCCACACCAGCAGCTCCTGCCAGCCCTGCTGGGCTGGGCCTTGGGGAGGAAGGGCACTGGCCTTTCTTCCTGCCTAGGAGCAAAGAGCCTCCTTGCTGAGCACTTCTCCTGCCAAGGCCATCAGCTCAGATGGGAAGTTCATCAAGGGCAACTTCCTGGAATGAGAAACATTCCTGTTCCCTGGACAATCTCTTTCTAATTCAACTCAAGAGCACACACTAGAAGTTCAGGTGTTACCCAAAATTTCTTACAAGAACCTCTGAGACTAACTGGTGAGTTTTAGAAGCCAGGCAATCTTTTATTCCTATGCTCTTGAATCATTCCAGCCCACCAGGTGCCCTGGCAATCAGATCCCAAAGGGCACAAACAGCTATCTCCACTGCAGCTGATATGGCAGCATTACAGGAGGAATTGTTTTCCTTCCCTGCATTCCTGTTCCATATTCAGGGCATTTTCCAACACTTATCACCATACACACCTACCCTTAGAAGGTTTCCAAGGGGCTTCACCGAGGGCCTTCCCAGCTCTGCTCTGTCTGGAGCCCTCAAAGTCCTCAGGGCCTGCCTGAGGAACCTCAACACAACTCACCTGCTTACACAGCAACTCGGTGCTGCTTGGCTGCTGCCTCACTTCCCTTCTTCCTTCTTTCTTCACCTCCCTTGCTTGGTCCCTTTCAATCCCTTGGCTCAGCTCTGTGCACTTTCCAGGCTACATCCCACTGCAAAAAGGATCAGCTCTTGTTACATCTCAACACTCAGGTATCATTCCCACTTTATACCTGACCCTGAAGGATCCACTTTGTTCTGCTCACCAACCAAAAGGAGCTTTCTTCACTCAAGAAGAACAGACCCCAGGTCCTTTTTCTGCAACTTCAGCTGCTATAGATGTGACCCACAAGACCTGCAAAGGCCCTTCCCACTTCACCTGCAGGGCTGGCACTGCCACCACTGGACACGGCCCCAGGGGCTGGGCAGGAACGGAGGGGCTGGGGCGTCCAATCCATCGGCCCAGGCGGCACCAGGAGTTCCTGCAGTTCCTGAGGGGAGAGCCTCAAGACAACAAAGGATTAGGAAGATCATTTTAAACTTTAATAGGCATATCTCCTGGAATATGGGGACTTGGACAAGGCCTACAGGTGCAACAAGGACACACTCAAGGCTATCTATTCAAAGGATCTACCAGCACTCAGAAGCTATCACTATCCTTCTTGCAGGGGGAACTCAGGAAACTCTCTTTGCCAAGAGCCTCCTGGAGGATTTCCAGCTTTTGGGGCTCCCTTTTAACTGTTTTTCCCCATCCCTGTAGCTGGGACTATCACCTGCCCTACAGGGGGAACAGCCCACAAAGTTCACTTGCAGGGATGCCATTAACTCAAAGTCCCTTGTTGGGGGGTCACTGCACACCTTGTTCTTTGTTCGCCCTCCCCACCAAAGATGCTTCCAACAGTTCTGTGACACCTGGTAGACCCAGAGCTCTCCTCAGGGAATGCTTTAGCTGCTTAAAGGCTGCCCTTGCACCATCTAGACAAGGCAGAAAATGCTTACAGGCTGTTGGAAAAGTTGGCAGAACAGTCTTACTGCACATCCAGAGGGAGCAATCCAGAGTCCAGCCCGTCCTACCATTCCCAGCAAGGCAGTTCATGGGCTGTCTGGGGCTCAGGGAGGAGTCAGGGGGCTTCTTAGCTTCCTTCCTGCTTTCCAGATTTTCTCCTTCCAAAGCAAAGGTTTCTTGGCTTTCCTTGCTCAAGGAGATGCAGCAAAGGCCATCTTTGCAATCCAATACTGGAAACTCCTCGAGGTTGTCATTCAAGGTGCTTCTCTCAGGTCCTGCACTCATCAATCATCTTGGCCACTGGTTCCTTGGCAGGTTCTTGCATTCAGGACCTACAAGCAAACCAGGAGGAGCAAATTTAGCTGTTACTGCAACCAATCCAAGCTGGAATTCTGATTTTAAAGGATACTGGCTTGGCCTTAGCAGGAGAGATCCCACATCAGGGGTAATACCTACAGGTTCTGCCCTCTTCCACTCTCCTGGAACACTCCACTGGCCCACACCACAGGAACAACTGCAGCTGCCACTTCAGTCAGGGCCTTGCTGCTGACAGGAGTTATTCCCTGCACAACAAGAGCTGCTGCTTGGACACATTGAGTTCCAGCAATTACAGTTTCAATATCCCCAGTTTTCAATTGCGTTTCTGCCTCAACTTTTCTACTCAATCTCTTCTTAGCAGAGGTTTGGGTGAGTTTGGCGAATAGGGAAACTGAGCAATTCCCCAATGTTTTCCCAGTTTAACCCCTGTCACACCAATCACCTGAACACTGCCAGTCCTTCATTCTCCCTCTATTGGGTTAAGGACTGAGGAAGTTGGACCTGTGTCTGAGCAGGACAGGTGCAAACCAAATGCTGGGGACTGGAACACACACCTGGCACTCCTGCAGCTCTTAAAGTTATATTCAAGAGAAAACAGCCAATTGGACCATCACTGCTCATTTCTTCATCCCAATCCCACACTTCCTTTGCACTTGGAGCACCACTTTTAGAACCCAATTCCAGCCCATTAGAGAGCTCCATGTCTAGCAGGGACAGGGACCCCTGGGATACTCTCAGCAATGCCTGAATCCATGGCAGGGACCTTGCTTTGAGCTCCCCAGGGCCGGGCACCCCGAGGATCTCCCCGAATAATCCTTTCGGTGCGCGCTGGAGTCCTCGGGGTGCCCCAACCCGGGGGGCACCAACAGCACTGTCCCTCCAGGGGGGCCAATTTGGTCTCAAGCTTGCCATGGACAGCCCTAAAGGCATTTCAAGAGTCCTTCTTTAGAACCCACCAACGGGTACGGGGAGGAAGCCACAAGAAGGCCTCATTTCTAAAGGCAGGGGGATCTTGCCTGTGTCCCAGACTGGTCCGGGGATCTGAGGCCCTTCCCGAGAAAATCTCGGTGCCGGCGTGAAGGGCCAGAGATCCCTTGGAGCCACGGGAGAGCAGGCACAGAGTCCCTCCTGGGGGGGCAATTTTGCTGCCTGAACTCAGCTCTTCAAAGAAGCCTCTAAGACTCAGCTGGTGAGTTTTACAAGCCAGGCATTCCTACAGACTAAGATATATAAGGAGCTTATTGACTGAAAAAGCATAAAGCTTTTATCAGGGACACCTGACCTCCCACAGACAGCTCTTTTCCCCTTTCAGTACCAAATTATTTTCAGGGAATCATTTAACATGAAGTGACCAGGAACCCCAGACTCTGCTTTCCAGAACAGAAAATAAACAGAGGGAAGGAGCTTTGCACGAGTGTAACATACTCCAGAACACACCTGACTTTAGTTTTACTCTTTGTGTTCAAATACAGCAGAAGACAAACAGTCCAGCAGGAGAGCTGGCACATTACCCAGGGTACCCTCAAAGTCCCTCTCACGAGGGCTGGAGGAAAATCGCAGTTGTACGAGTCCTTTGTGCCTGCAGATGCCTGGGGATCCTCTCCATCCACCTTGTGCTCTCCCAGCAGCAGAAAGGGTGACCTCGGGGACATGGTGGCACTCCACATCCTGCTGAGAGAGCAAGGAAACCTTTAGCATAAAGGGGAGTTGGAATCTAAAACTTCTTTTCCTGGGGAGCTTTGTCAAGTCTGCAACCAAGAGGGGGAAAATTTGCATCTCCTTTGGTGCAGGTGTCAACAGAGATCAACAGAGCTTGCACCTTGTTCAGACAACTGTGCCCCTTTTGGCTCCCTGGCAGCTCCAATGGCACCAGAACCCCCTTCCTGCACACCCACGGCTGTCACACACAGGCACCCACACACCTTTGCTCCAGCCCACACGGGGCCAACATTTCCTCACCCTGCACATCCCAAGGGCAGTAGTTTTGCTAGAGAGCACAGCAACCCCCCTGTCCTCACAAACTGCCTCCCTGCAAAAAGGGAATCATTTCTCCTGGACACTTCTCCCACAGTCAAGGGCTTTTCAAACTGCTGTCGTGCCACCAAACCTGCTCAGGGTCCCTCCCAGCTTCTGCCTGTCCTTGCATTTAAAGGCACGGGCATATTCTATCTGCCAAGAGCAAACCCAGCTCCTCACTGGCAGTATAAGCCCTGCTCTTACCTGGACAGACTCCCGGGCTCGGCACAGCTGTGGCTCATGGAGCAGCTTCCCAAGGCCCTTCTCTCTCCCAGCAGGAAGCACAACTCGCCTCCACTCCCCAGCACCAGGGGAAACCACGAGCCAGGCTGCAAACTGACACAGAACGAGCAAAAAGCATTAATGCAGCACCAAGAAACAAGAAAGCAGTCTTGGCCTCGTAACCCTGCACAGGGAAAGGCTTTGGGATTCCGAGGCAACTCCTGAGACACCCAGAGAGCACCAGCCCCGCAGCCCTGCCACGGCTCCCCCAGGGTCACCCGGCAGGGAAGGGGTTTACCCGGCCCCCGTTGCCCAGCACAACGGGCCCCTAAACGCCCCCCGGCTCCCCCGGTCCATAACCCAGCGGCCAAGGCGCTCTCCCCTCCGCAGCCCGGGCAGCAGCGGGGCCGCACCCTCAGCCCTCACACACACAACCGGCCCCACCGCCCCCCCGCCGGCCCTTTATACCGCGGGCCGGCAGCGCTGCCCAATCAGCGCTCGAGCGCCTCCGCCCAATCCCAGCCCGCCGGTCCCCGCGGCCCCGCCCCGCCCGCTCAGCCCGGCCCCGCCGTCGCTCGAAAAAAAGAGCCGCGGGCGCGTACTGCGCATGCCCAGGGCGGAGCTGCAGCCACCGGTAAGTTCTGCGGCGCTGGGGCGGCAGCGCCCCCTGGTGGGCTCCGAGCGGTGCCGCCTGGCGAGTTCCAACCGATACTGCGGGCGGGGGGCGTCCCGAAGGCGCTCCCTGTGGAATTCCACCCGATCCTGTGCCTGCTGAGCACAGCCCATCCGTCCCCGACCCCGGCCCAGCGCTGCCCGCGTGCCGCCTGCAGGAGCATAGCAGCAGAACCTGATGCGCCAGGGAAAGGCCAGGCGCTCCCTCCCGCCCGGGGAAGCTCTCGCTGCATGTGCTGCAAGGGACACTCCTCTTGTTTCTCCTCTTTGCTGAGGGGCCCTGAGCCAGAGTGTGGACTTGGTCCTGACTATGGAAACAACCACCCACCCTGTATCCCAAACGGACCCCTCACCTCCCTCACGTGCACTCCAGGCAGAGCACTCCATGCTGGCAGGTCACAGTGGCCAAGAGGTGACACGAGAGCTCCAAGTTTGTGTCCTTGGTCTGTCAAGACAAATGTGGTGACTACACTTTGCCAAGAGCAGCACTTGTGTAGCTACTCTTTGGGACTTGCTGGCCGTGAGGGCTGCAGGGCACCCCCTGGTCCTTGGTGCTCCGCTATCCAATAAATCACTTTTCCGTGCTGTATTTCTCCACATGAAATGCACCACAAAGGTGTTTGTGAAACCACAGGACTCTCTAACCGGGCCTGAGCATGGGCACTGCCAAGGGAACAGGCAAGGCCTCAGCAGTACAGAGCAGGTTGCTGCTTTGTCACATCCCTCAGCTGCTCTGGCATTTCCTCACATTTTACTGCCACTACAGGCCTAAACATAAACTCCGCTGCTGATAAAAGGTGCTCCTGAAGAACTTTAAAGATGCAAGACTTTGTGGCACAACTAAAACCAGGCCCTGGCTGACCCTGTTTGGTTTCGGATCCCATGATGTCCTGCCCTCCCCCTCAGCCCCAGAGAACACAAGTCTGCACCCGTTTACCTCACAAGCCAAGGCCCCGAGGCCTGAACGCTGCAGGCCCCCAGCAGTGGCACAGGGGATTGTGCTCCTCCAGGCATCTTTGGTGCCAGCAGATCTTGTACCTGTCGAGGCTGCTCCTCTGAGGACTTTTTGGTGACTCCAGATCTGGGGCTTCTATAGGATCCCGGTTTTTCATTCCAGTGTTTCAACTCACACAACTGCACCACTTTTCAGACACTTCCCAACTGCCATTTATCAGGAAATACTACTGCCAAGACATGCCCTCGGCAGGACACAGCAGACAGCAGCTATCAGGAATTTCACCCAGAGCAGAAGAGCTCCAGATTCCATGACTCAGCCACACCTCATCTATGAGCAGTGTGAGAATAACCCTTTTACCAACCTTTTTGGGTAACTTCTAACAAACACAAGAAGTAACAAAACAGGGACAATCACTTCTGCACCATCAAGAGTAAGAAGCCCTAAAGTGCAAAGCAAGCAATTCCAGCTGATTTTTTTAATACAACTCAGCTCACAATTCTCCCAGCACCACCACAACATCCACGGAAGCTGTATCCTGTAGCCGGATGCTGCAGCCTGGCAGGGTGTGGAGGAATGCCACCTGGGACACCTCTGAGAGGAGCTTGTGTCCTCCCCGGGCCACACATAGCCTGAGGTGAGAGAAGCCACCAAAGTCAAATACTTCAAGGTTCATGAGGCCGCGGTACTGTGGGTTCCCACTGTCACCGGCCAGGTCAGCACCAATGTTCTTACAAGCTTTCCTGTAAGCCAGGGGTGACAGTGCTCCCACAGCACCTGCATGCAAGAGAATTAGGGACATGGATAAATGCTGCAGACATCAGTAGTTTATTGGTATGTTTAGTCAAAACACATTCAGAATGGAAACTTAAAAATACTTTCCACCTGCAACAATTAAACTAGAATCTACTAGCATATAATGCTTGACACATTACAGCAATAAAGATGGTAATCCACTGTCTTGAATACCTACTAAAGCCAAGATGGTCAGCCAAGTTTGTTGAAATGGAACCGTAATGACAAAATACTCCCACCATTCACAAATCAGCAACTAACAGTAATGGTCAGTGAATCCCTTCCTTTGCTCTAAGAGATACATTTATTATTGAGAGGGTCGAGAACACATAAGAGTCCACAGTACAGCAGGTGAGCTATCACCATGTAAACTTCTCTGGATGATGTTCCAAGGGTTCGTGTCATTTAAACAAGAAGCAAGCCAAAAAGCAGAATGGCTCAGTGGCTCTTTTTACTACTCTGTTTTTGTTCTTGATTATTTCCAGTGCCATTTGCCATACAAATGAATTAGGTGGCAGCAAAACACCACAGCACTATAGAAGGAAAAAAAACCCTCTAGGCTACACAAATCACACTGGTGGCAAATTGCTAACTGGTAACAGCAATTTGTCCGAGGGCTTCAAACCTAAGGAGTGGAGTTGTGTGGCCAGCAGTTCAAGTACTACAGATTTCCAGGTAACAGCTGAAATTGCGAGACCTTCAACAAAAAAACTGAAATATGAAAATGCAAACTGGTAGAAATGCATCCCGGGAAAAAAAGCGTATGAAAATAGTGCAAGACTTACCATGGAACACAGAAGACCTCAAGTCTGGCAGAGAACAGACAGATGCCACTCCACCTTGCCTAGCGTAACAGAAAATATGTGCAAAATCCTCCAGCCTACTGGAAACCAGCAAATGATTGCATAATCCAGAGACAGATTGCTAGCATGCCCTCTCTGCTTTTGCTTGAAATGGCCAGTTTTGTATTTGAGGTCTCCCGTGCTCAGCAGCAGCTTCAAGTGGTCACACTTTCGCACGGACGCACCCCCCCTTTGCTCCTGACCCCTTGGAGCCGGCGCCGGCCGCGCGCCCTGGCAGAGCCCAGCTGTGCCGTCTGCTCCAGCTGCAGGTTACAGGAACGTGCTCCACAACATCAGCCAGGAACACAGCTCTCCGCTGGAAAACCCACCGGTCAAACTGCAGAAGAGGAGGTCTCCTTGCTATCCTTCGCTCCAGAGCCACATCAGTGCCAGCTTCAGCTGAGAGTTATGTGCAACATGAGTACGAGTTTTTAAAAAAGTGCAACTGGAAAATGCAAGAACTTAAGAGCTGCTGTTTAGTTCTCTGAAAATTGCAGTATCCCCGTTTTAGAAGCTCACCTTCACAGAAGATGCTCAGGTCTACTCACTAGGAGCTGGCCAGAAGCATCCACCGTTCTGGACTGACTTCTGCAATTCATGTCCAAGAGATTGCAACTCTGCTTCCTTTAACTCTGACATTGATTAAAAAGAAGAGACAACCTGGAGTCTACTTGGATGCCTTCTTCCTCCCTTCCCCCCTCAGCAAAAACACAGGCGAACTTGTTAATTGAAGAGCAAGGTGGATGATCATTTTAGCAACGTTTACTCATTGAAAGATACTGCAATTTTTTTTTAATACAATTTTCCAATTATTTTCTTTAAATGCTTTGCAGCCACTTGGCTTTGCAGCACAGTAATTCATACACTATACTGTACAAAATCACCAGCAAGACTGGAATGATGTATTCATAGAAGGCACCATCATGCTTATTACATTACCAGAGAACTCAAATACAGTCAAGACAAGTTTCACTGTACAACGCTTCTCGAAGGGGAAAGGGGAAGGAGGAGTGTGTTGAGCAGCCATCCCTGCACTGAAGAGGGGCAGATAGAAAAATCTGACGTGAGCTATCAAACTCGTTGCGTACTCAGGGCTACGACTTGGAAACTCTGGGTTCTGGTTAGTTTACAGCTAAATGGATTCCTTCTGGAACAAAGGTGTAGTCTCGTTAAGGTTTGTGTGTGTACAGAGGTTGGTCACAGCAAGCAGAGCGGACGCCCGCACCGTTCCCCAAGCTATTCTGTCTGAGTAAGAGGATGAAGGCTTTCCCTCCGATGCCTCCTGCAGCTGTCAGTATGAATGAGTTCAGAGGACCCATTAGTGCATTTTGATGAGTGCGTAAACACGAGTTGGTTTGGAGCCGAGTGTTCTAAGAAGGAAAAAAAAAAAAGGCAAGCTTCTCCAATTGCACAAATTGCACTATTTGTGTTTCCAACAGTAGTAGGCAGAAACGGCAACACTTACACAAAATGTGCAGCAGAGGGTTTTTGACTGAAAGGACCTGAAAGCTACTGGGCGTGTCCTTTAGTTCACTTTTGTTGCAGATAGTTAACCGGTCTTTTTTTCTTTTCTTTTTTTTTTCTTTTCTTTTTTTCAGTCCTCAATTCTCCAAGTCTACATTTATAAATTAACAGTGTGACTCCTGTTGTGAAATTGGGGAAAGAACGTCCACCTCAATTTAAATTGGAAACCAAAGGATGCTTTCACATCAAAGAAATGATCAGAAGGGCTGTGTCACATTCCAAAGCCAAAAAAAATTAACAAGAATGCAAACACGATGGATAATGTACCACTGACAAGACTGTCTGCCCCCAGAGGAGACTTCAGCGGCGCTGTCCAGTGAAACGGCCTTCCATCTGCCCGGTTCCTCGTCCAGAGCCGAGTTTCTGTGCCATGCCCCCCCTGGGGGGAGGTCCTCTTCCGTCCCGGTCCCTCATCATGCCGCCCCCCACGATTCCGCGGGGCCCGCCGGGGCCTCTTTCATTGCGGCGGAGATCCCTGCGGTCGTCGCCCCCGCCGCGGGTCTCTCGCTCCCGAGCAGCTCTGGTTTTTTTCTCTTCCACGTTCAGGCGCACCTCGCCCCGGAACATAATGGGCTTATGGGGAAAAGGGGTCAAGGCACACGTTAGTCACCGCGTCACACAGGCCACCGACACAAGGCACGCGAAAGCTCTGCCTCGGCTGCACGCCTCGTGCCCAGCACAAACAGCACCTGGTCAAGGTTCCCTGCAGCACGCAGCCTTAGCCCTGCACAACACCACTTTTACATTCACTTGGCATGCGAGGAATAAAGTGTTTGTCTCAAGGAAAAGCAGGGTTGTCTTTAGCCTCTTTCACATCCAGCTTTAGCCTTTTCACTTTAGGGTTAAGCTTCCTGAAGAATTCTCTACCAGGTCTCACTATAACATCACAGAAACAAAAACTGCTGCTTTCTCCTCTCCAGTTCCTCCAGTGAAAACTGCAAATAACCCTGCTCCTTTCTCTCAGACCCAGAGTGCAGAATTCAGACATCCAGGTGATACCCTTTGAAGGGTTACCTGCTCCACTTTCATCTCAAAAGGATCTCTAAGAGCAAGCGCTGAGCTCAGTGTGGTGTCTACGTGTGGAGGTAAGAGACCCAAATTCATATGATGCGGTTAGAGGAACACTGGCACAGCTTTTGTGAGCTACACAGCACTTCTGACACAATGAGAATGACAAAACTCTGGTTTTCTTACAGCTGTTTTTCGAATACCAGGCCCAACAGCAATACAAACTAGGATGGCCCATGTTACTCGGGGTTTCAGGCATTCAGTCCATCCCTGGAAGGGGTAACTCAATGCCAATACTTACTTTCGCAACTAAAATTCGCTGGACCGGCTCAGAATCATCAAATACCACGAAACCAAAATTAGGCAGTTTTCCTCCCACTCCTTTAGTATTTATGCGAAGTTCTACCACATTTCCAAAGCCTAGGAAAACACAAAGGAAGAGGCACTTTACCAAAACCCACAGTGCCAGCTGTATGACTGCTCTGCTTGTTCCAGACCTCTGCAGTGCTGCTCCCCGTGTGGCCCTAAGTCACTGCTATGTGCTTTTTTAACACAGCTTTTTGTCTCAGTCTCTGCAGCTGAAATCCTTACTTACTCATGAAG